ATCGACCTTAGGTCTAGGTAGGAAGAAATTACGGCAGTGCCGTCCTGATTTCTCCCTCGGTGGGGAGGAGATGTCGGGAGGCTTTTGAAATTTTCTGGGAAAATTATAAAACTTTTCTTTTTGGAACAATTAGGGAAAATCAAATTTAAGTAATCAATTACAACTAAAATTAATTAATTGAATCATTTAAATTAATTAATCGAGATAAATTAAGTCAAAATAATTAAATTTGATTAGCAAATTGATTTAATAAAAAAATAAGATAGCATTTTTTCAAATCCGAGAGTAAAATTTAAATCAAGGTGTTGTTATTCTTTTGAGAAAATTGATTTTGATTAATTTGAGCAATTAAAAAAAGTGTAATAAATTAAAGCTGAGGGGGCGAGAAATTCAACTAATTAATATATACAACAACAACTCTCCAATTCACAAACCCTCACAAATCATACACTCTCCAACAATAATTCAAATTCAAACTCCCACATTTTCCAATAATAACTCAACTCTACCAACTCAAAATGAACTCCTCTATATGCTCTCCAAAGATCCCCTGTATGAGCTCCTACAGCTACTTTTGAGCTCTATCCTCTACAACTGTAAGCCTCGGCTATCGCAACTACTAGCTATGAATATCTACAAACAAACAAATGAAGAGTTAGTACATCATAAATAAATTAAATCAATCCTAAAAAATTAGTAAATCTAAGCTACTACATGTATAACAAAATACTGGAAAGCAAAAAAAGCTAAGTACGAAAAAGCTAGTTTAATAATAGTGCTGAAAAAGCAGGTAGAATAGTGGACTACTGTAGTGGAAAAGACTACAAGCACAGAACAACTAAAATACCAACCCAGTGTCAAAACCCCGAAGTGTAAAAAATCACAAACTCAACCAACTCAAACAAGTTTAGAACAAATCTAAAAAAAAAATTCAAACCATTGGACAACCTTGTTTATAAGAACTTGGTTGTAAGACCCACTACCTGACAATTTTCTTAGGAAAGTCATAAGTCTGATCTTAGGATAAAGTTTTAAATAAAAAATTTACCTAATGCCAACCCCTAATTAAAACACTGGCTACTTCTAATAGAAGTCGTAAGTCTGACCTATAGGGAAAATATTTAGCTGGTAATATAACCCTAAATCCCTAACTCGGGCATCCTAGTCTAAAAGGACTAGGTTGTCATGCCTATAACTCAGGTCACTTAGCTTAAAGTGTTATGTCGTAAGACCTATCATTAGACAACTTCTATGGAAGTACTAAGACCTAATCCAAATCCAACCAAAAAAATCAAATTTAAACTTTTGGACATCTTAGTCTAAAGGATTAAGTTATAAGACCCGATTTTAGGCTGCCTCATAAGGGAAGTCGTAAGACCTACGCAATCAAATTTAAAACCTCCGGGCAGCCTCGCTGTAGAGTTAGGTTGTAAGGCCCATCTTTGGGCAATTCATAAATAGAGCAGTAAGCCCCATTACAAATTAAATCCCCAGGCAACTTTCTACAAAAACCGTAAGTCCCAACCAAAATTTAAATACTTTGGCTACTTCCTAAATAAGCCATAAGATCCGCTCCAAATCAAATTCATGGGTTACTTCTAAACAAAGTCATAAATCTCAAACTAAATAAATATCTTGGTATTCTAATATATAGATGTAAACCCCAAAACACCTAACAAAATTAAAACTCACATTTAACCACTTCATTCCCATGACTGCTAATCAGATTCTATAGTGAGGGTTAATAGTAAGCATGTTCTTCATGCATATAAAAGTCCCAAGAAGGCATAATATTGATAAATAAAATTATCTTTATTAAAAGACCATAAAATGCCACAAAGACTTATCCTTATTCAAAAGTCCCCAAGGTGATGCAATATAAGCATATATTTTTATTTAAAAGTCGCCAAAGAGAACAACAATAAGAAGCCTTTATCCTACTTTGTTGGATCGGCTGCAAGCCCAAAGAGAACAACAATAAATAAATTTTTAATTATTCAAATTTCTCCAAATAGACTCCGTAACATATAAATTCAAAGGAAAAGAGATATATAAAATTTTCTTAAAAGTGTTAATTTATTGATCAATTTTTTTTTGTTTTCAAAATAATAATAATAAAAAGTTTTTTAAAGTAATATATTCATTAAAAAATAGTTACATAAATTATTGATCAATTTTTTTTTTTTTGTCAAGATGGATCTTAAAAAGTGTTGTATTTATTTTGAGATATGTGTAATATACACTTTAATTGAATTTTTTATGTATTACACTAATCTTAAAGCAAATTTAAGTGTGAACAATCAGTTTACATAAAAAAATTAGTATTATTTTTATTAAAAATAAAACCTAACAAATCCATGATTTAACATGTAAGAATATGCTTAAAGCTTTGTTCGGAATAGTTTTCTTACTAATTTTCACAATAACTTTTTTAAAGAAATTTGTATTTGGCTATAATCCCATAATACAGGCCCAAACGAGATTGACCCCAAATGGTTTGCTTCCCCTAAACCCAAACGGCCTGCTTTGTTTTCTCTTTTGATCCTCTCTTGCAACTCACGACCTCAAGCACGACTTTCGTTTTCCCTTTCGCTCCTCTCTTATCATGTTATTTGCATTCTTAAATTTGATCTTACAGCTCCTCTTGACTCCGATAAAAACACGAAAAACAAAACTATTTTAATGTATTCTAATATTTCAGATGATATGACAAACAAAACCATTTTAATTTATCACCCCCCTGAATAAAATTTTATACAAGGGCTTATTATCATCTGAGTGATACAAATGCATAAGATACTAAAGAATATTTAAAAACCATCAAATCCATCATATTAGGACCAAATCTACTCTATTTCATCAAAGGTGAAATATCCTCTAGCTACCATCTTAAAGTACTATCTTCTATGCTTTAAATTTTTATCACTTCAACAAAACTAAAAAACTTATATTATTTTCAAAATCATATGAAGCGATTACTCTCCTCTGAGGGAAAAGTCCTAAAAAAAAAGTCACTCTTATATAGAGATTTGGGGATCATGGATTATCACCCTCACTATTGTAATTAATAAGAAAAATATGATTAAATATTTAGTCACACTATTAATAGTCATACTTATTCACAAAACCTAATTATAAGATAAAATGTGACTAAAAGTTTTGTTTTTAATCTAAAGTTTATTTAGAGTCTGATTAAAACTAATTAGCTACATTTTTCAGATAGAACAAATTCATCTAAGATTATTAGTGTGGATCTTATTATATTTTTCAATACACAAAGTAAGAGAATTCAATAGATCATGTAATAATCATATTTAATCTTAGTAACAAAATGCTACAACACAATAGCCACAATAACATTGGTGTAAAATATATTGAAAATTAGATGATTGAAAAATAAATATATTATCTAAAAAGAGTCAATAGAAACTAGATGGAGAAAATGAGAAGTGTGCAATGCATGGGAAACAAAAATTAGGCATGATACACACATGATCAGGCTATTTTTCAAGTAAAAGTTTGTATGTGAGAAGATCAACAAGTTGATAATCCGATACACACTATTTATTATATTTTGTAATCATACATTATGAGATTGAACCTAATACTCTCATATTTCTTAACAATTTTCTCTTATATGAGAACTCAGCTCATACCAGGTTGCCTTATTTAAATTTGTTCATCATAAAAGGTACCATATATCCATATGAGCCACCGTTCATATAAATCACCCATTCATAGCCGACTGACTCTAATATCACTAGTTAAACTATCAAAAAATGCGGATCAAGGGGGGGTTGCATAACGATGACAAGGTTTTATTTGGGACATCTTTCTTACTACTTCTTAAAGCAGCTTTCTTGTAAAAAAATTTTCAAGAAATTTTTGTACTAAAAAGCTGCTTTAAGAAGCAGTAAAAAAATTATCCCAAATAAAATCTAAGTATAATTTTACTTAAAAACTTAAGAGCATAAGGAAGATCAACCACAATTAGTTTTACTATGCTAACATAATTTTTTTTTAAACCATCGAATATGTGAAAACCAATACTCTTCCATATATCTTAATACAAATGAAGCTCAACTCAAAAACTTTGGACGAAATCTCCACTGTAAGAAAGAACAGACATGTTAACTACTTTTATTAGCTGTAAAATCCAAGCAGTAGAATGACGGATTATCTATTACTGATGTATATCTTCTGATCTGGAAAATCGATCGATTACAAGATATTGAAACAATGATGAGCTAAAATATTTCAGAAAAAAAAATCATTTCATGATTTCAATGCATGAGCTAACAATTTATCAAAGTTTCATTAAATAAAACTTTGTTCTCTGAAGAAAATATTCTCAATTATATTTGAGAATCATCTATGTTAGAATCTCATTCTTGCATGCATGTACGCACGTACCCTAGCATGTTAGCCTCTATGAAAATCTGATAAATATTATAGAGCAAAAATCCTAGCTATTAAAAATTTCTTATAAAAATTCCATCCATTTGATGGTATATATATATTAACTTATATTATACAGATCCCCATAAATTTTATAATTCTCAAAATCAAAAGGAAGATAATTTAGAATTCTTTATCTAGCTAGCAAATTCTATAATGAGTAATAGGATTTTTGTTCGCATATTTTACCATCTGATCCTCCTAACTATGTCCTCCACTCGGGTGAAGAATCAACTTCACACAGCCAAGAAATCTATGAAAGGAACGCCGGCCTCACTCTCTAATTGCTTCTTGTCAATCTCTTCTTGCTCCTCTTCCTCCATCCTCTCTCCTGTGCCATTAGAATCGCTAGTACTGTTTACTTGCAGGAAATCATAGAACTCGATCGAACTCTCTCTACTTGTATTTCCATCTGCCATTATTACACATATTTAGTTAGAACAATAATATATAATTACGAATGATTTTCTCTTCCTTTCTCAACATGAATCAATAGACCAGAAACTATATATATATATATATATATATATATATAGTTACTGTTAATAGCTAAAGAATAGAAGGCTTTGAGAAGTTGAGTTATAGCCATAACTAATTCCTTCGTCTCCTCCTACGATTAAGTTAGAAGAGAAAAAATCACTATAGAATTTAAGCTTCAGCTCCTCTCTTCTTTGCTTCTCTTCAGATGGTGCATACTCTTCTAGCTTTAATACTTTAGATGTTTCTCTTGACCTTCGAGCCATGATTACATGCCAGTGATTCTTCACAGCGTTATCTGTTCTTCCTGGAAAGAAACGTGCGATGACAGACCACCGATTTCCATGAATTCTATGAGAAGTTATAAGCCTCTCTTCCTCTTCTTTTGTGAATGGGCTTCGTAATATTCTTGGATCCAGCTGATTGAACCATCTTAACCTACAGCTCTTTCCTGTTTAATAAAGCAGCTGTTAACATGTCAAAATTTATAAAAATATTTGCGTATAGTTAAATATGTAATACTAGTTTGCACCTGATCTCCCTTTCAGCTTCTCAGCAATAGCATTCCAGTTGTGAGGGCCGTGCCTTGTGACCAGTTCCTTGAGCTTCTCGTCCTCCTCTGGCATCCAATGGCCTCTGGTGCACATTTCATAAAGAAAGTTTCTAATGAAGAATAGATTAGAGAAGCAGAAGCCTCTAAGAGAGAATTAAAAGGTTTATTATTGGCCGAAGGAAACCAGAATTAATATCTTCAGTTAGAGAAGAAGAAGAAGAAGATAAAAGTAGAGACATATAAAGAGAGAAGAGAATGGGAAAGAGGATTCTTCCGTTAGAGGTGAAGTCATTAGTGGTTGATGGTACATTTTGCCTAACAAATGGTTGTCTATTGTAAGTGGAGATAGGGAGATAGAAGTGGAGAGGTTGCTTGATGGGACAAAATCAGTTCAACTTTCAACATCTTCCCACGTTTCTAACCTTCATCTGCTTGAGCCGCACCTTCCACCTATACTCCTTTGCTCAAATATGGCACTATTGAGAAGAAATTTTCTGCATAAATTCGGTAAAGTCAATATTTTTTTGACATTTTTTATGCTATATGCAATTAAGAAAGTTATCTAGTCCACCTCATCATCATATATTAAATATGTCTTTGATACACATAAGAGGTAGTGCAAATTTTGTACATAGTGAGAGCTGGTGAGCTACATTCAAATTTAAACTGCATGGTACGTAGCATATAAATCTCAACCAACTTATTCATTTTCTTTATATGTGTCCGTCATCATGAATTGATTAACTTTTTTGTTAGTCTAAACATTTGGAATACATAAATATTTCTCTCATAAACTAATAACATATAGCATATATAGGGTAGTACACTACAAGAAAATCCTGTATTATCATCGGACTTTTCGGCGAATGTAAATACGCCAGTAATAGCGGCGAACCAACCGGCATATATTTTGTTGGTAACGTAACGACGGATTTTCCGCCGGCCCGTTACCAGCGAAGTTTCCAACAGATTTTCCACCAGCCTGTTACCTGCGAATAATCCGCTAGAGGTTTCCGTCTGTAAATGTCCGGCGAAACCAGCAGGTTAATAATCACCTAGCTGGCATTTATTGCGAAAAGTTTCGTCGGTAAATCTGGTGGATTTGTTTCGACATTGACGCGTGAATTAACATCAATCAACTTTTCGCCGGAAATTAGTCAGAAACCCGTTTTTACCGACGGATTTTGTCCGCCAATAACATCCGATTTTCTCATGTAGTGGTAATTAATTAGGTAAGTATAGGTCACTATTGCACTCATTTTTATTAAAAATTATATATATATATATCAAGGTAAAAATTAAGTTGACCTAATTAATAGCTAATTGAATAGATTCTTTAACTATTTAAAAAATGATTTGTAAATGCACATAAATGCGCCGAAATAAGAATCTATTACAACTGATGAGAAAAGAAGCATTTATGTCACGTAGGTGAATATCATAATATGATAAAACTATATACTTAATTGTCTTAATCAAAGTTAATAAAACAATCATTTCAAATGATAAAATTTACAACTAATATATATGACATATAATTACATAAAAAATGTCATAAGTTCAAATAACAAAATTTAACTTGCAATGTTTTCATTAAAAATACAATGGTTAGTGTCTTAAAAAAAATCTTGTTTTAAGTTTATATGTCGCAATAAAATGTTATGGTGACACTTAAATGTTATTTTATAAAATTTTGAGGTTCTTAATTTTGAATAATTTCATAATTATCATAACATAATATCAAATTACTTTAAATAAAATTTTCTTAGAACTCCAATAAAAATATTCATAATTTGTTTTATGTATAAGATTTTCCTTGCATTATAAGACTTTAAGTCCATAATAAAATTACCTTCACTAAATTAATATTTGGGTCAACCATTAGAATCTTACAAAACACATAAAGAAGAATTTCGCCCCTGCCATTGCCTCTCATCTCTCTCCATCCTATGGCTCATGATGTCGATGAGATCTCTTCAAATAATCTCTTGCTCTCATCTTTAACCACTTTAATGGTATTTTGTTTCTTTGGATCTCTTTCGACCGGTTGGGACTTGGCTGTTTATCTTGTGTTTCTGATTTTTGTGTTTTTTTTTCTATGTTTCCCCCTTTGGTAAGGTCTTGCTCTCATGGCTGATCATATGGCAGCAACCACATTAAGCTTTTTTTTTTTTTTTTTTTTTGACGAAGAAGCATTATCCTTCGGCCAGTGAAAACCCGAATTGACCTAGCATGCAACCCACATCAATTTACACAGGCTACACTTAAGTCTTTCTTTCTTAGAGGCAAAAAAAAAAAAAAAATCTAGCTAGATCCTTCAATGACCTGCTTTCTGGTTCCTCATCCTTCACTCCCTTTCTAGATCTAAAAGCCACAACTCATTGTGGCATGACAACATTATGGATATCAAAGGAAGAGATTAAGGCCTTGGCTGACCCTTTTCAATTCACTTTGATCGGCAAATTTACTCTCCATAGACCTAAGCTTATTCAATCATGAGTTTTCTCTTTCAACTCAAGCTATTTGATAAATTTTTTATTACTCTCTTGGATACCCGTCATATTCTTATTAAGTTGTCAAATAATCTAGATTACAGTCGCATTTTCAGCCGCTGATCTTTCTAATTTAATTTATCTTTCTAGCAAGAGACATAGTTCTTTATGTATAATATCCCTAAATCATGAAAGTTTAGTATATCATTACTCAGGAATCACCCATTTGATCCAGTTGTTGAACATAAATTTTTGATTTATTAGAGGAATAAACCACTTGTTGTAGAAGTCTACATAAAATTTTAACTTCACAAAGCATAATTTAGGCTTTGTTTGGGATGGCTTTCTTGATGCTTCATAAAGCAGCTTTCTAGTATAAAAATTTTAATTTTTAAACTAAAAAGCTATTTTAAGAAGCAAAAAACAGTCATCCCAAACGAAGCCTTAATTGATCCCAAAAAAGATGATATAACACATCAAATGATTCAAGCAAATTAGTCCACATGATTAACCAAAAAAAGCAAAAGAAAAAGGTCGAGCAAGCAAATTTCCCAGTGTAAATTCTTTTTAGTGATAACTATATATAGGGGTGTCAATTTCGGGTCACGGGTCGGGTTCGGGTCGAACCCGGAACTGACCCGTGTTCAAACGGGTCGACCCTAACCTGACCCGGGAAGGCAAACGGGTCGGAAATCCGAACCCGGACCCGACCCGGCGGGTTGCCGGGTTGACCCGACCCGACCCGGTTCGGGTCGAACCCGCTGCTGGCGGACGGCGGGGGACGGCGACGCGGCGGGCGAGAGCGGGCTGCAGCGCGGTGTTTCATAATCTTCCGTAGTATACATGTTTCATCATCCATCATGATTTTTTAACTTATAAAATTTAAAATAGCTAAAATATAAATATTAGTTTATTTTTATTTATTTAAAATTTTATAAACAAAATTCTTTGTATTTTGATGACTAGTAAATTTACGTGGTGACAGCTTATTAATTTTCTTTAATTATTTCTTGATATTTTTTATTAATTTCGGAAGTGCAAATTAAGAATATATTTTATTCTTATTGTTTATAATTTTTTCAATAATATTTTTATTTCTTTGGTTATTTTTTTATTATTATTTCACTAGAGTAAACTTATTATTTGATTATGTTCTCTTAATTTTTTTTAACTAAAATATTAATTAGTAAAAATATCATCTAAAATATTCTTTAAACAAAAATAACCTTTATATTCATAATTTGTTCATTGGAGTCGTAAGTCCTTCTAAACTAATTCAAATGAGTTTGAATCTTATTCAAATTAACGTTTTGTTTGGCACAACTTTTTTATTGCTTTTTAAAGCAGTTTTGTAGTAAAAAAATTAAAATTTTTATACTAAAAAGTTGTTTTAAGAAGTGGTAAGAAAGTCATCCCAAACAAACCTAAGGGCATCTTCAACCGAACTCCAAACGCTTGAATGGAGCTCCCGGCCAGCTCCAGCCGAACTGCAAAATTTCCGCTATATGGCTGCGGGTGAACAGTGGGACGCCAATATTGGCATTGCACTGTTCATCTCCGCCATTTTTACCACTCTACCGAACTTGTCGCGGGAAAAAAAGAGGCGACGGTTAACTGCAAAAGGGTGAAAAACGCGTTCCATTGGAGATGAAATCACGACATTTTGTAGTTTCCGGCATTTTGGAGTGAAAAATGAGATTTTCGGTTGGAGATGATCTAAGTCACCTTGTCCTCCTCTTTACCTATAATTCTTCAACCAAATTTACATTCATCCTCTTAGCCTATAATTATTTCAAGGAAATCTACATCTAGCCATCATATATTGAAACTAAAATGCGAAACTAATATGCGACAGATTACTTTAAAATAAATAAATCTCAATTTGGAATTCCAAACATAAATAATGAAGCTCTCATTTTCTTTATAACTAATATTTCATTTGAAATAATTTTTTAGTGCTTTCTAAAGCAGCTTCTTAATATAAATATTTCAAATTCAAAAATTACTTGAACAAGCTAATAATAAACGAACACAAACATGAACACTCCTATACTCGGCTCGGTTCGGTTCATTTGCAGCCCTAGGTTGAAGTGATTGAATCTTGTTTTCTTTTTTAAAGAGAAATATTTGTTACATCACTCAAGTTTTAGTTGAGATAATTTTTATTACTTTGTAAAATAATTTTTTAGTATAAAATTTTTTTGAAAGTACTAAAAAGAATAGTTATCAAAAAGTGTCCTAGACGAAGCCTTTAGGCTTTATTTGAGATGACTTTCTTAGTGCTTCTTAAATGAATTTTTTAGTACATAACAAGTAGTAAGAATGTCTTTCCAAACGAAGCCTTATTCTACACTTGATTTATATAAAAAATTATTTTGGCCTCAATATCTCACTTGTATCATAACCTTAAATATGACATGCTTTTTTAAAAAAAAAAAAATAAGAACAGTGCTTGTACCACCTAGAAAGCCAATACATTTAGAACAAATAAATACTAATCTCAGCTAGGGGCGTAAAATTGACTCGTGAGCCGAATTTAGTGAGCTAATGAGGAAGCTTAAGTCAATCCTCACTCGACTAGTTAGCTCTCGAGTCGGCTCGTTTAAAAAATATTAATATAAGATGCACTTAAAACGTATTCACATTTAGATTTTTAAGTACAAAATTATTAAAAAAAAATTAAAATATATCTCAATTTATTATATTGAGTTATTCTTTATTATTTTTTCTTTTAATTTCTCATTTCTTTTAACATTTTATTATAATAATTACTGAATCATAGGCATTTTTTATATTTCATAATAAACTTGCCGGCTCAAACTCATAGATTTAAACTAGAGTTCAAGCTCAAACTTTATTTTAATAAAAATAAGAAGCTCAAAGTTTATTAATTAATCAAGCAAAAGTTCAAGTCAGAGTTGGCTCAAGTTCGACTCAACCATAAAATTCACAAAGCTCAACTCTTTCTCATCGTTAAAATTACAGTGGTTTTAGCTAATAAATGAAACTGTGAAGACGTCAACTGACTAATGAAGCAGCTATGCATTTACTGTAACAATAACAGTAAGTCAGTGAAATAGGAAATTACAGGTAACCTAAAGGAGATGGGTTCTGTAAGAATACTCCATCGACGAAGATAATTCAACACTGAGGGCTAAGCAATGCTCCTTTTTAGTGGAATTATCAACCAAATAACATAAACAATTAGATATTGCTTGCGTGTGATCAAAGGAAATTAACTATCTTCTCTGTCTGTCAATTATAAATTGTAGCAGGTGCTCGAAAGATAGGCATGGGAGAAATATAAAATCTTATTGATTTAGTGCGGATGATGAAAGATAATCATAAACTTCTGACTGTTATGATGCCCAAAGACAAAGAAGTATCATTATCACTCAAATAAAACTATTAGTTAATCCATCATGACATAAAATATCTTGACAACAGCAACATTGACTAATAACCTAATTTTATGATTTAAAAAAAAAAGATTAAAATAAAAAAAGAAGCAATTGAAGCATAAATCTTAGCTCTTTTGAAGCATGGAAATTACTTTGATTCAAGCATAGATTTGTAAAATCTCTTAAAAAAATAAAATTAAACTCTTTAAACTCTTAAACATTGAGACGTTCTCTTTATTGTAACGATTGGACTTTCAGTAGAAAGTCTAAAGCTAAGCATATTTATATTGGAGCACTTCAAGGATAGGTGACCTCCTGAAAAATTATACTAAGGAGATAAAAAAGTGAGACTAATACGACAAACCAGACAATAACTCGATAATTGAGAGTCTGGACTATTACAACTTTTAAGATTAACTAACACCATACAGTAGGATAAAAACTTTTTGTTGCTGTTGTTACCTATTTCTCTTACATTAGTTTGATTGGATTACTTCAACGGTGCTAAATAAAGACTATGTATTGCTATGTTAGAGCCTATTGCGCACAAATTTAGTGATCCAATAAAATAAGAATAAAAAAAGACAATTTTAGTGCAAAGAAAGATAAATTCTCAATAAGAAATTATACATAGAAATTTTTATGAGTTTTTTATTATTGAATTGTCATTGTAATGAGTATAATATATGGAGATCTGTGAACTATATTGCACCGATACAAATATGGCAACACGAATACGACACAATACAGATACGGGACACGTCAATTCTTAAAAATATGGGATACAGGTATGACGCGGACACGATATTATAATTTATAAATCATACATAAAAATTAAAAAAGCTATCCAAACATAATATTTGAAACTACCAAAAAAAATGAAAGCAATATCATTTGAAGCCTTGTAGCTTATAATATCAAAATAAAAGTAAGCATTGAATGTCTAGTACAACAAGAAAAGCATAAACATAAATTGTTTATAAGCTATAGGATATAACACGCCTTCATAAATAGGTGTATCGGTACAACATAGTCAGTGAATCGCCTATAACATCATGCATTGTAGTTATCCTTCTAAAAACTAAAAGATAATGAAGCATTCCTTGCAATGAATTTTGTGAATTTTATCCGATCGACAATAGAAATTAGTTGCTACAGATCATAAATTGCTGATAGATTTTCAATCAACACAATCATCGAAGATTAGAGACACTCAATCAACACAATCATCGAAGAATCCTTCTAACTTGCTCATAGATCTTCAGAAGAAAAAAGAAAAAAAAAATCATCATCCCTAACAACAAAGGACAGTGCAAACTCCTTATTTCCAGAGTTCGACACAGAATCTTCTTTCAGTTCAAAAAAGAGGGGTTTGGAGAGTACCGTTACACCTTCAATATTATCCCCAATTTGGCCTACTCCACCCCCTCAGCTTATTTTTGATGCATCATTTGTGCTTACATGTTTAAAAAGTTGTTCTAATGGAATAAGACTATAAGGCTTCTCAAGTTCCTCACAGATGCATTTACAAGGTCAGGTACTCAAAATCGGATTTTTGAAAACACAAGCTCTCAGTCAATAGACTAAGGCTTCATTTGGGATGGCATTCTTAACGCTTCTTAAAGCATATTTTTAGTAGTTAATTTTTCTACTAAAAAGTTGTTTTAAGAAGCAGTAAGAAAGTCATCCCAAATGAAGTCTAAAATGAATTGGATATGCAAATAAATTTATTTTTTGTAATTAATTCGGAAGATTGTCATAAATTCTGGAAGAGTCTAGATTGTAAGTGAGAAGGCTTGTGGCATTAGTAGTAGACTTGTACACATATCGTCTCATATGTTCAAAAAAATAAGCAGATGCACAGGTAGAAAAAACTAATAATTCGGTAAGCAGACGAAGCATTTCTCTATCCAATTATCCAGAACAAAAAAAGTCTTAAGGTCTGAAATATTTGCAAGAAAAATTCAAATTAAAAACAGAACTACTCATTCAACAAAACTAAGTAGCAGTAAAACAAGCAGCACTGCCGCAGCAACCGCACAAAAACAGAGCAAACCTTGTCTTTTCCTCTTTTTCTTCCTCTCATGCAAAGCCTCCGCGAGTTGCCCCGTTCCCTCGTTCACAAAGCTCTTAGCACAGGCCATATGCCCTTCAATATCATTTAATTCCTCTCCCTGTTTCTCCACCAACACAGCCATGTCCAAAAATATCATCTGCAATTTATTTAAGCTCCTTCGTATCTCCTCCACAGCTCTCCTCCTCTCCTCTGCTTCCAAACCCAACTCACTCTTCTTCCCAACCAAAACCAGCTTTTCTCCTTCATTTCCATATATCATTCCATCAATCACTTCCTCGTTAGGCAATTCCCCTGTTGCAGCAAAGTACCTCCTCTTCAATCCTTCTCGATGATCAGCCACAACTTTCTCCCTTAGTTCTTGGAACTCATTCATCATTCCCCTTAGTTTATTCCTCACGGCTCCAGTGACAAAGATTCTGGTTCGATCGACTGCACTGCCTTCGGCAAAAGCAGGGGAGATTTGGCGGTTGGCTGTGTTGGATTCATCGAGGACTTTGAGTTGGAGATTGATGATGTTAGCTTTGCGGAGGATGTTGACCATGTCGGAATCCATTTGGTCGGCCATACCGCGGAGGAGTTTGGGGCTGTGTATGGACTTGGAATCTTGATTGAGGCGGTGGAGGTCGAGTAGGAGATTGGAGATGGATTCCATTTCTGTTGTGATGTTTGTTACTTCTTGGAAGAAGAGGGATAGGTTGTCTTCCTCGGCACCTGTGTGGCGACCAATCTCTAGGTCATCTTTGAGGGCTTGTTTTTTTAGGTCCGCGTAGTTGAGGAAGGATTTCGTCATGAGATTGTTCATCTTTTGAGGGATTGAGGGAACAAGAACTTGAAATGAGAATTTGAAAGAGAGGGAGATTCTTACTAGCTTTGGAGAAGAATGGACGTACGTTAGAAAATATGAGTGAGAGAGAGAGAGAGAGTGGGGAGAAGGGAGAAGGAGAAGTGCGAAGTGGAAGCGAAGGGTTGAAAATTTGAATTTTAGGGCAACGTTATGTGATTTGAAAAAAGGGCGAAGGGGAAACGAAGAGTTTGAAGTCTTGATTCTTGAATTTTTCCGTAACGTTCATATGATTTGAAAAAACTGCGACGCAAAGAAGGAACTGTAGCTGTTAGAGCCTCCAAACGGTGCTTTCTTTTTAATTTTTTCCTCACTAAAGAAATTAAGAACTTTATTTTTAATGCCACAAATTTAAATTTAATTTCAAGTGATGGGAACTAATATAAAGGCAATGATTTTGAAATAGAAAAATATTTTCAATATTGTTTTTATCTACTTTTTCATAAAGTCAATATTAATTCTTGTCTTAAAATATAAATTGAAAAAAATAAGAAAAAGTTTGATTTAACAAGTGATTAAATAAAAAGAGAAATGAAAAATCACTAAAAATCCAATTGAAATTCACTTCATAATTTAGAAACATATTTCAATGAAATAAGAAATGGTTGTTAAAATAAATAATGTATTTTACAAAAGAAAAGAATAAGAAAAAAATCATCAAAAATAAATAAACAATATCTCATGCCATTGCAAGGAGATGAATTGTCCTAAAAATTATTTTTCATACTTACATATCATTTGAGGAATCAACATCCAGCCGAACACAACATTAAAAAGGTATTAAAAATTTCTAAAAATTTGATCCGAAAATCTAATACTCAAAGAGTTTAAGGTAAAAATATAATTTTTTATTAATTCAAGTAACCTGAAAATTTATATGAAAGTTTAACGTTTTATTATGACTAATTATTGTTAATAGATAATTACTATAATTATTAAAATGAAATTAGTTTTCTGAATAGATGCTTGAGAGGCATTTTATGGAAAGAAAAATTTATGTGAGTTAGCACATTAATTGAAGGAACAATGTCTGTGTGGGGATTAGGAGTAGTGGAAAGGAGTAGAAGAAAAGAGCATTAGAAGAAACATGGAGGAGGTATGAAACTTTAATGTTTATTGTTACCTTTTAGATTTTCAAAAAGTTGATAAAAGAATCTAAATCAATTTACCTAATTGTATTTTAGAATTTATTGGGTATATGCATAAGGAAGGTTTTGAGGTAAATTATTATATTAAATATAAGTTGATGTTATATAATTTATTTGAGTAATAAATTGTCTAATTTATAGAATTTAAAAGAGGTGTTTGTAGTTTACTTACAAGCACAAAAGAGTAGGAGGCAGGGGATTGGAGGAGATAGCTCGTTAGGAAGGTAAGTTATGTAAATTTTAAATTACAAAAGCAAGAATTGTTAATTATATATACATACAATGTCACTTGACTTATTTAAAGAGATAAATGCATTAAAAGAATTTCAATTAGTGAATATGAGCATACATTCAAGTATTCATGTACAAGCAACTCCATGTACATATGAATAATTGGATATTGAAATAAGATCAAGTATAATTATTTAAAACTTTTCTTAGTTGGTAAGATTATGGAAAGAAGTTTAATTCTTTACCTATTGTAGATACAGTCTTTTTATGCAAATAATATAACTGAGAGATTATTATATATATATATATATATAAATGTTATGTTTATTAATGTGACACTCTACATTACTGATAATGGGTATCATGGATTGTTACAAAAGTGATATCAAATAAAATATTTAAGATTCTAAGGATTTAATTACGAAAGCTTAAGCAAACTTAGTGTTTAAGAGAAGAGAATTAGATTTAATGGAACTATTGCAGAGTTTAGGAGAGATTGATATTTCTAGGTTAGTAATAAGTCTAACTTCAATCTTGCTTGCCAGTAGCATATAAAGTAACATATTAATGTGTGTGCATAATTTCATGAATGTATAATTTATAATATAATGCATTGCAGATATAATGACTGAAAGGGTACCTAAACGGACTAATGATTTGCCATCTCAATATGATATAACACCTTAGGATCCTAAAAAGGTTACACCAGTAGAATTGAAGGCAGATCATCAAAAGTGGATAATGTACATGTAGTGTCTGACCCAACCAGTATAATGTCAGGAAATATGATGCAAAAGCAGATGATAAATATGATAATATAGATGATGAAAAAGATGCAATCTCTCGTAGGATCTGCAAGACCTAATGTTCTACTTGCAACTATTCCAGTTACTCCTATAACTCCTAGTAGCAGTACAATACAAAGGCAGGTGCTCATGTCAATATGAAAGTAGATAAGCACTTAAAACTCTTCCGAAGTTTAAAACTGTCTTTTATTTAAAGGAGAAGTAAATGTCAGAACTGTTGAGGATTGCATTATAAGGATTGAGAAAATTTTGATTGGAATGAGATGTCTTGAGAATATATGTGTATCCCTTTCAATCTCTATGTACGTTAGAAGGTTAGGTAGAATGATGATGGAGGGGACAACAACTGGAAAAATTTAATGGTTGAGTAGAGGATTTAATTACTTGGGAGGAATTCAAATAAGTTTTGAGGGAGTAGTATGTTTCTCCATTAGCAACGCAAGCGATGCAAAAAAGTTGTCAACCTTTGCTTTTATTCAATGTGAAGCAGAATTTACATTTCTATCGAGGTATGCCCCAAAGCTTATCAGTACTCCTATTGAAAAGTGTTATAGATTTTTGAAGGGCCTCAGAGATTCATTGAGACAACCTTTAATTTCTCTATACATAAAAAAATTTGTTGAATTATTTGAAAGTGTTAAACAATTAGAGCATGATATAGATATGATTAAATAGAAATAGAAGGCTGATAGTAAAAAGAGGCCAATTGATCATCGGAGTGGTCAATCAAAAAGATAAAAATTTCATCAGGATCAACAGCAGCAGCCTACAGGGTTTTGTGTAATACCAGCATGTATAAATTATGGGAAATCTCATCTAGGAAGACGTCTAATGAACTCAAAAAAAAAAAAAAATATGTGTGTAGGGAATTAGGATACATCATCAAAAACTATCCAAAAAATACTTAACGAGTTAGAGAATTAAAATGCATTCAATAGACAAATCATTACGAAGGTGCTAAGCCACAAATGAATCAACCAGCTTTTGAGATAAAAGGTGAAGCCTCAGGGGAAGCAGTGAGATCAGCACCAACTCTTGTGTTTGCTTTAACTTCTCAAGAAGTAAAGAAATCTTTTGAAGTAGTGACATGTACTATAAATATTTTAGATTTATTAGTTAAAGTTCTTTTTATTATGGCACACCTCATTATCTTATGTATGAGATATTCTGTGTAAAAAACTACATGTGAAGCCAAATATTTTTAATTCTGGTTATATTCGGTTACTTGTGGGTAATTCTTTAATCGTCAATGCATCATGTTCAGTTAATATTATGATAATTGGTAGATAATTTCAATCAGAATTGATAATACTTCTATTAGTAGAGTTTGAAATCATTTTAATAATGTGTTGGTTAGTCAAATACTTTGCCACCATTGAATGTTGGAAGAAAAAGTCAAATTTAATTTGTCAGGAGAAGAGATTTTTTTTTTAGTGTGAAAAAGAAGTAATTTCTTCATTCATTGCTTCTAGTCAAGTGTATAAAAAGTATAAGAGTAGGTGAATTATTTTTTTGGCAAAGTTAGAAGCTATTAAAGGGATGAGTGATGATATAAATTTCATTCATATAGTGAATGAATCTGTAGATATTTTCTTGAAAGAATGGAATGAAAAAGGCTTTTATTATCAGAACCTTGAACAACCTTGAACATATCCAATTATAAAAGCACCTTATATAATAGTAACTAAGAAATTACAAGAATTAAATAGTTAGTTGACAGAATTGATTGAAAAAGGCTTTAATTATCAGACCCAACTTTATTGTTATCTTTTAGATTTTCAAAATGTTGGTAAAAGATTCTAAAGTAATTATACCTAATTGTGTTTTATGATTTATTAGGTATATGCAATAGGGAGATTTTGAGGTAAATTATTATGTAAATATAAGTTGATGTTATGTAATTTACTTGAGTAATAGATTGTGGAATTTATAGAATTTGAAAGAGGTGATTATAGGTTACTTACAAATACAAAAGAGTAAGAGCTGGAAGATTGGAGGAGACAACTCGTTAGGAAGGTAAGTTACGTAAATTCTAAATTACAAAAGCAAGAATTGTTAATTCTGTATAAATACAATGTCACTTAACTTATTTGAAGAAATAAATGCACTAAAATGGTTCCAGTTAGTAAATATGAGCATACATTCATGTATTCATGTACAAGCAACTGCATATCCATATGAATAATTCGATATTGAAATAAGATCAAGTATAATTGTTTAAAACTTTTCTTAGTTGGAAATATTATGAAAAGAACTTCAATTCTTTATCTATTGTAAACACATGATTTTTATGCAAACACTATAACAGAGAGATTGTTATGGAAGTATGCAATAATATAATGCATGTATGAATTATGAATAATTGGACTCGATCTACTTAATATCAAATTATAAAAGGTTGACTATAAAATGATATGATGCCTGCCTTGTAAGTGGGGCAAAAGGGACTCAGGATAAGATACAAGCATAGCAGGTGGGACAAAAAAGACCCCTAAAGAGGCAAAAGAGATATCTATGTAGTTCAATAATGATAATGTCAGGCTTAACTATGCTCCATTGAACATAAGGAAAAAATTAAAACAACCATACTTGATCTTATTTCAAACTTCAATTATTCATATAGATATGTAGTTACTTGTACATGAATACTTGAATGTATGCTCATCTTCACTAATTGAAATCCTTTTAATGAATTTATCTCTTCAAATAAGTCAAATGACATTGTAATTAATTTTTTTTTCTTTTGAAAATTAGAATTTACATA